GTACTGTGAGCACTACAAATAAATCTCATTAAATAATGGGCTAAGGGACTCCAGGGGTAATACAAAACAAACGTCTGTATTGACAGAACAGATAAATAAAAAAAAATCAGCAAGGTGGGTGCAGTCATGCAAAAGTCCCACTGCCAAACGTGTGTAGGGATGAATTCTATAGACACAAATCCTGCTTGTTAGACATTCAGATAATAATTTGATAACTTTGAGGGGGTGATTTTTGCACAAAATAAAATGTTAACAAATGAGTAAACTGAAAACCTGCATAAAACACCATTTTCCAACAAACTTGCCAAAAAGTTTCTCAGTCCCCTCAGTTTTTGCCAGGAACAAGTGTGTAAGTGTGTATGTGTGTTGGGTGTGTTGGGGGGGGGGGGGGGGGGGTTATACAGCAATATCGAAACCAGTTACTTGTAATAATTGCCACACTTCTGCTTAAGCAAATAATTATAAAAATGTGGGGGAGGATGTACGAATTCGTTTAATCAATTTATGAACCACCATGATCAAATCAGTTTGAAAAATATTCCCGTTACTTTGCTAGAAAAAAGAAATCACAATATTTGAATGGTTTTCTGATCGCATTCTATGGGTAAACACTGCGATTGTCACTCACATGTTAGCACAGTAAACATGAGAGTTTTGGCGTTCTTCATTTCGAACTGAACAACAATCTCCTCTAATAACATGCATTGCGATACCAATGTGAAATAACTGTGACGGCACACCTGGTGAAGTAATAACACCCCGTCAAATGAAACGCTAAACAGTTGCATCGTAAATATGTACGTCTTTTTCCCAGTACTGAGTACGTGTAACATCTACGAACTAGTACGAACGTAAAACAATCAGATAACATTTTTGATAAGACGTCACATGCGACAGGTGCGATACCTCTCCAATGAAGATAAAATTCGTCAGGGGGAAAAAGAGCATTATTTGAAGCATGTCGTAAGAATATTTAAAAAAAACGGGTCGCTAGTTTGTTACATTACTTACTGACCCATAGCATTCTAACATCCGCACACAGGATGAAACCATGAAGCCGTAAAATTATGACGCGTGATTTTGTTGAAAATCAACAACGTGTGTACTTAAACATTTCTTCATCGGTGTTGTTTCGTTAAAGTGACCACTGTTTACAATGCCACTGACTCGCGGTGACGGGCACGTTTAAACTTCACCTGAAAGGGTTTGGATTCCGGAAAAAAAATTACGGAACTTCCTTATGAAATTATACTTACTCGAGGGTCGGCAATATGTACGAGTTTTTCATGTACTCGAAATAAGCATGAAGATTTGCGGTGCCTTCCACCACGAACACTACATCACACGCGGACGTGCTTTGATCAGCCACCACCATTTTTCGAAATTTTTCACAATGGTCCTTTTGGCAGTTTTCAGCAATTTTTCAGTGAGTATATCCTTGGCTCGCCACAGAGAACAAGTTCTCTTTGTGAAATTGTCCCGATGATGTAAAGTTTAGCGGAGAATTCGAGGGACATCCCCTGAGTCGTCCAAAATACTACACTGACTGCGTTACGAATGAGGCATCTTGCGGAAATAGGTAAACTGATATGGATATTCCAGCAGATATCCATACTCCTTCTACATCCGGAAACTGAATAAATTAATTATATCAAATGCATTGGCATATTTTTGTTCCATCATATTATACAAACCATTTCACTTATATAATATGATATATAATTATAAAATATAGGAAATACTGTACGAAAAATGACTTTGAAAACAATATATTCAGGTATATATACGAAATCTCCAGAGGGAGGGATATTGTTATATGGAATTGTGTAGGCGGAGACATGCTTTGATGTAGTGCGCCTTCAAATGTCACTAGATGATCACTTTCTTTTTGAGACGCGTGTGTATTCGTGACATATTATCGCTGATCCGTCGCGATACTACATTCGATATGTGACAACCATGACTATTTATACTACGTACATTTCAAATTATCATCGCCATTAGTCGTTTGCCAAGGCAATAATTCAACAAGCAGCTGAGAGTCATTGTATGTTGACCCGGATATAAATCTAACGAACTTTAACCTCCAAGTGACTTATGATTCCCACATTTGCCGCGTGAGTTAAATCGAAGAAAAAGCGAGCATGGAAAACGTGGACAACTTGGTTTTGAAACTGTTTGAAATCGAAGCGCTGAAGTTCGGCTCCTTCACGCTGAAGAGTGGCATACAATCGCCTGTTTATTTTGACTTGAGAGTGATCGTATCCTACCCTAGCCTTATGGTGAGTAAATGAATACGATGCAATTTGATCAATTAGAATTTGAGCAATTAGTTAAAATCTTAATTAATTATACAAACAGTGAAACAGATGACTAATCTATTTAAAGGACCATATTGTTTCAGAGATTAATTTGAACCGTAAATATACAGAGCATAACAAAGACTGATTGAAGTATGTATACAATTTGGAAAGAGTTCATTTGCACACCACCCCCACACCTACCCTAACTCTAACCATGGAGCTCCATGCTCTAACCCTCACCTATGTGCTCCAATTCAATTGTACATGTCTCTTCTTGATAGTATAGTATAGTGAATTATTTTATTTGACACTAAATAATATATTTTGTTATATTATCTGTGTTCAAAAGACATTAAATATAATAAAACGCAAGTACACACACGAGACAAAAGAAAATACATAAATAACTAAAGTCTAAGTAAAATTACTTATGGTAAAATAAAATGCTGATAACTATAGAATTAGGGTTAGGGGTGGGTGGAAAAGGAACTCTTTCCAGCATATATCGCAAAGTACCCACAAAGGCAGAACAATGATCGCATCAACTGGCATGTAGCGGAGGTCAATGTGTCTTGTAACAACCTTATTACAGCAAGTCTCCAAAGTATTGGGGCAGCCAATTAGCAAACTCTCTAGCGAATTGGCTTACTGCTTGTGTTTTGACAAATCGGTTGGGTTTTGAATCTTTCTGACGCCGACATGTGGTCATTAGAATGATTTTACGTAGCCTGGAACATTACCCTGATGATTTGCTTTGTTACGCGAGGCGTGATATAAGTTGTTTCCCTATTCAGCTTAAAAATGACCACAGTCAGCTGGCGTACAAGTGATAATATGATAAATGCGATTAACTCACCGATATTTACTATATGGGGTAACCATCTTGAACACTGCTTGAAACAAAATAAAGAGACAAGTTGTGAAACAGTTTCCTACAAATCAGAAAACAACAAACTTTCACATCCAAACCATCCATTGGGGTAACATAAGCCAGTCGCCAAAAAATTCGATCTCATTCGTTGTTTTTGCGTGGACAATCACTTGTATATGAACACCTCATTACATGAAGAACATAGAACACTTTTCCTGGTATATTTGAAAGCGAAATCGCCATCCAACTAAAGTATGATGACCATCCCCTACTGTTATATAGATTCGCCCAGACTACAAGACTGCGCCAGCGAAATTCGAAAGCCAACCGTTTAGTCAAAACCAAAGCAGTTTAATAGCCAATTCGCTAGCGAGTTTGCAAATTGGCTGCCCCATTACTTCTGAGACTTGCTGTAACCACTTTTTGCTCCATGCCTGCCCAAATAATTTTTTTTTTACCAAAAATGACCATATTGTTCCCCAAAACACTATCTAAAAGTGTTGTAGAACAGCAGTAATTTTAACAACAGTGTTCTTTTTACCGTGTAACCAGTTTACACTGGTGTAATCTAAAATTTAAAGAAGTAATTGAGAATAATAACCGTATTGGTTAGGGTATGGATTTATTCAAACACACGGACCTAAACACAGAGGGTTTGCTACACAGGCTTGATATAGAATTATGCTGGCTTTTTTAATTTTGTGTGATCGCAATCAAAATGTATGTAGGGCTAGTGCGAACACTGGAATATTCATGTATTCTATTTCTATTATTTGTTTTGAATAAAATACCAAAAATTATTACCGGTATATTGTGCCCAAAACACCACCTAAAAGTGCATGAATCACAATAAAATGTCAGTACAAATATTTCCTATGTGAACAAAACCAAACTCAGCCATAATCAAAAGATTATAGCACATTATTAAGTGATGAAAAATTGCTTCCATTAATTATTTCAAACCATATATATTTCTCAGAAAAAAAAATGACGTACATACATCTCAATATACATGTATTAGCTAAAAATAGCAAATTCTCTACTGTTTTACATGAAATGGTCCCAATTTGTATACAGAACTGTTGGGAGAAACTAAAATTTCCTATTTCCATAGAAACAATGCCACCCACTCCTTCGTTTATATACAATCTGTAAATCACCAAAACATTTCTAAGGTTTCAGAAAATTTTAATAAATTTAAATTGTTATTTTTAGTACCATTATGACAAACATTGTCACATTTCATATAAATTTTTAATATTTTAACACTTTAAATTGATGGGATATTTTGTCAAAAGACAAAAATATATAAAATTGTGCAAATTATTAAATTGAATACAAATTTGGGTTGAGAATATTGTGTTAAAAGGGTTACCATACAAATTTAATAATTTAAAATTTTTCTTGAATTTCAAATTATTTACCAAAGCAGGACATTCTCCATATTGAATTATCAATGTTAAGTAATTTGTTAATGATTATTATGTATAGTGAAGTTACAGTTAGGTCACTACTGAGAAGTATGTGTAATATTTAGTTTTATCTCCATTTTGTTTTCAGTTTTTTTTTGAACATTGCCATGATCTGTCTGTATTAAAAACCATGGCTTCTAATTAAAATGCTACAATGCAACAGAAGAGGTGCGGCTTCTATTAGAGCATCTACACACATGAGAAATGGTGAATTTTTGGTTCCTTATTTTTCAAAAAGAATGGGTACAACTTCTAATACAGATTTTACGGTACACTCTTAACATCTATGTATTACTGAATTATTATTATTACAAATTTTGAAAAAAGGAAGTGGAAAATTTTTGCTTCTGCAAAACTTAATTACTGTACTTCCCTGAGCATAAGCCCACCCCTCTGTTTTTAGACATTTAACAAGTTGAGGGCATCCCCGAGTATAGGCCCAGGGTGTTTTTACCGGGCATCAACGACATTTCTTAAAATATGCATGTAAAAAGTGTATTTCATTGCATAATAATCGTGAGTGGTACGGTAGTTTGGTTCCTGCTTTTACGAGAAAACTCGCATTAATTTCAGGCCGGCGAATGTGCGGAACATGGTTCGCACATTTTCTATTCTGTTATTTACTCAGGATGAACACCAATGTTGCAATACTGAAGTAATCCATATTTCTTTTGAGTAGTAGTTTCTTTCTTTTAAAATTGCAAACATTTTTTAAACAGTTTATAAAGTGTATGATAACACGTGTGCGCCTATTGTAATTAATAACATTCCCTATAAACAAATAAGGGTTCTGATTAATGTTGAGTTTCATCTCAAATAAACATCCTGAATCAGGGGTATATTTTTTCTTTATTTGTTAAAACTTGTTAGAATTTACAATAATATTATAGAAAAATGCACACAAATTTGCAAAATAGAAACCTTATTGTTGTGTTTTTTCTTTCCTAGAATGAGGTTGCTGACTTCTTATGGCAAGCTGCTGAAAAACCCAATGCTAAATTCGTTCTGCTTTGTGGTGTGCCGTACACTGCGTTACCATTAGCAACGATTATGTCTGCCAATCACAATGTCCCAATGTTGATTCGCCGTAAGGAAGCTAAGGATTATGGGACAAAAAAGATGATTGAAGGTAAATTCAAACCCGGAGATACATGTCTCATCGTGGAAGATGTCGTAACCAGTGGTTCCAGCGTCATGGAAACAGCTGATGTAAGTTTCATCTGCGTTTAAATGGGGAATGTTTGGCATTTTATGTGAACAGTGTATTATACATGTGCTGTGTATTTTGCTATGAGTCCCATATTGAACAGAACACAGCAAGAACCACTGTTTTTTAAGTGGTTTTGAACAAAATATTAGGTATACATGTATGTTCATGGTCCAAGTGAATGTGCAAATGGCTGCCAACTGTTAGACACCGACATGACTTGTTTTTCTCTCGCAAATAATTGTCCAATTTTTTTCGTTATTATGTCCACTCTCCCATCTATCTAACTTGTAAAGAGAAGGTGTTTGGAACAGTGGACATTCAGAAGAAAATAGAAACGTTATTTGAGGGGCTAAATCATGTTGCCTGTTTACTTCCCTGACCATTTACACCTATGATCTAATGTGCATTCAATTTGGATTTCTGAAAAAGAATATTACTTTTTTGAAATATTTTGGATAATATGAGGTTATTACTAGGATACCTCAAAGTATGCATGAAGACAGTACAGCTAAAGTATCGACTGACGCGCAGCAGAGGTCGATGCACGGCATACTGTCTGAGTGCATACTTCTGAGATATCTTCGTAATAACCTAATAATATTATACATCTTTTCCTTCCAAGGATACATCATGGGAATGCCAAAATCCAAACGTTTAAAAAAGATTTACAAACTTCT